TTTTTTTTTTTTTTTTTAACTGACAGAGGAACCATTTACAAAAGGCCGATTCTCTTGGGAACAGAGGCAGGAACGCAGCGTCTGTGAGTAATTTCCTGCTCAATATGGTTGTCCTGACTCATTCCGTTTCCCTGGGGTCACTGCGGGACTCGGCTCTCTCCAATCCTCTCCAGCTCGCTTGCTCGCTTTCTCTTCTCTTTGTGGCCAGCGTGAGCTGCAGTTCCTTTCTACCTCTCCTCCCGTTTTTTCCCCATCCCTTTTTTCTTTCTCCTTTTTCCAAATCTCCCCGCTTCCTCCCCGTGCCCCAGGAGAGGTGTCTCTCCGAACTCCAGCAGATGTCCGTTTGGCACCGCGATGCCTGCCCGGGCGGAGTGGGGCTTGGGTTCCCGACTGGAGGGTGCCAAAGTCTGGTTTCATAACCAAGGCTGCATGAAAGGTCATCCCGCTGGAACGCAGACTACGATCGGCCCAGAGCGGCGGTTTTGTGGGGCCTGGCCGCAGAGGGGCAGGCGAGAGGCTCTCCCCATCTGCCACCAGGAGGAGAGTGAGGGCCACAGATGGGGCACCCAGATCGGCTTCTGCAACTCCTGAACTTTGGGGAAAGTTTTTCTGCCCCGTTTTCTGTCTCATTTCTGCACCCCGTGAACAAAAACGTCCTCTGCTGGACGCCCAGCTCTGCCCCTCTTTTGCACTGCCTGCCAGAGGCCCTTGCTGCAAACAGAATTTGGGGAGGCGTGAAAAACATGAGGGCTGATGACTGGGTACAGATTTCATGGTTGGTGTCCACGTCAGTAAATCTCTCCCATCCCTGTGCGGGCGTCGGAAAGGCTTTGATGCACATCCCTTGGAAAACCTATCGGCGCCAGAGCCCACCTGGAGGCAGAGACAAAGAGCATGGCTATTTTTTTTTTTTTAATGGGCAGATAGGATCGTGGAGTTGGAAGTGAACCCAGAGATCATCAAGTCCAACCCCCCCCCACCCCTACAGGATTCACAACGCCAGCAGTTCTCTAACAGTTTGGTCTCGGGACCCCTCGACATTCTTAAAAATGATCGAGGACCCCAAAGGGTTTGGGTTTAGGTGGGGTGTATCTATCAGTATTGACTGTATTAGAAATGAAAACGGTGACATTTAAAAATATTTATTTATTTGAAAGGCCGTGCTTTGAAAAACCCTGCGCTATACCATCCCCACTAGAGGACTATCCAGCCTCCATATGAAAACCTCCAGGAGAGGGGAAGAAACCAGTGATACCCCCCTGATCTTACTGTCAGGAAGTTCTTCCTAACGTCTGTTCTCTATCTACATCCTTGACGTTTCTTATTCTTGGAGCAAGTGAGAATTAGTCCAAACCCTCTACAGCAGTGTTTCTCAACTTTTGCAACTTTAAGATGGGTGGACTTCAACTCCCAGAATGGCTGGGGAATTCTGGGAGTTGAAGTCCACCCATCTTGAACTGGCCAAGGTGGACAAACGCTGCTCTACAGTGTGACAGCCCTTCAGATATTTGAAGACAGCTGTCATGTCCCCAGTGCATCTTCTCTTCTACAACCTAAAGATTCCAAATATCACATTAGGAAGCTC